AGCGCGGAGGAGATCGAGAGGCACGAACTGGCGCACTACCCTGCCTGACACTGGCGCGAGATCTGCGCGACGGCGAAGACCAACGACACAGCGCGCAGGAAGAAGGAAAGACGCGACGATATCATTCCGTTGCTCTGTCATGACGACGGCCAGGCAGGCGTCGATGGGGGTCCAGTCAGTTTCGAGTTCGTCGTGGGCAGTGACGCCTCCGCGGGTGGCATCTGGAGCCCAGCCATCATCCAGGAGGGGCGAGACGACCTCTGCACCGCAGCCTCGTTTGTCTCGTGGATCGCAGAGCTGGGTCACTCACGAGTCGTGCCGCAATCAGGGGCGCGGCGGAGTTCGCGTTCATCGCAGCTGCGAGGGCCTCGGCAATCAAGGGTGGCACCTGCGAGGCGATCCTTCTGCGGCAGTCCTAGAGGTACAACGGCCAGGCGAACGGCAGAGCTGAGAGGGCCGCGAGCCGACGGCACCACAGATGAAGAGCGACAACAGCAGCACGTTGCACGTAGTCAAGAGGCGGAGACCTGGTAAGATGAAGCACGTGGAGCGCTGCAGCAATGGAGAGGACAGCGCCACCTCACCCTCGACAAGGTCAAGACGGGAGGGGCGGCGTGCTCACGAAGACCACGCACGTCCAAGGATAAGACCGAGAAGCCCAGCGAGATGGTAGGCCTGGAGTTTTCAGCGTTTCTGTCGCGAGGCCTTGTCCCTAAGAGGACCCAGCGGCCTCGAGGGCGCGTCGAGGGACATCGACGAGAGAGAGAGAGAGAGAGGAAAAAGAGAGAGAGAGAGAGGGAGAGACAGACAGACATGTATATCGTAGCCATAGCCTTTTTGGCACAAAAGTTGCCACCAGTGGGTCTGCGTGCCCCCTGACTCTGCTGGGCCTCCCAGGAGCCAACGAAAGTGGCGACGGTTGCGCAGTTCGCAGCCTCCCAGGGAACAGTGAAGTCCCCAATGAGTCCGCTTGTATTTTCTTCCGCTGGACCTCCCAGGAGCCCACGACGGTGGCTGCATTTGCTTAGTTCGCAGCCGCCCAAAGGGCAACGAGGTCTCCAATAGGTCTGCGTGCTCCCGACTCCGCTGTCCCTCCCAGGACCCCACGAAAGTGGCGACATTTGCGCGAGGCCCCCAATGGGTATGCGTGTACCTTCGCTCCGCTGGATCTCCCAGGAGTCCACGACAGCGGCGACGGCTGCACAGCCCGCAGCCTCCCAGGGAGCACCGAGGTGCCCAATGGATTCGTGTGGCCCCCAACTCCGCTGGGCTTTTGGGGAACGCACGAAAGCGGCGACAGTTGCGCAGTTCGCAAGTGGCGACCGTTGCGCAGTTCGCAGCCACCCAGGGAGCAACGCATGAGGAGTCAGGACGAGGGGGTGAGTAGAACAGTGGAGACCGCAGTGCTTCATTGATAACCAGGACGCAACGCACATGAGGGCTGGGGCACATCATGACGTCAGGGGTCTTGACACCCCATCTCCAGCCCCAACGTGGGCGCTCTTAGAGGGGACTCGTCTCGGGCGGGCGGCGGAACCCGAGATTTGACGTTGTGGCAAAATGGGGCGCCGCAGGAAATCACGAACGGAGCTCACGACCAACCGAGGGCAAAGATCCTTGAAGGCCAACGCTGACGAGAACGCGGATTGCGAACTGCTGGTCCTCTCAGGCCAGATCGATCTCTGAGGGCCCCTGGGTTTGGAGGAGCGCCCTTCTCATCTCCAGGGTGGCGGCGCGAACGCGCTGGGTGTGGTCCTTCATGGGAGCTTGCAGTTTGGGGGAGTTCGTCGGATTTGGTCGATGCCTGGGCGAACTCTGGACGAAATCTGCACGAAATCTGGACGCGCGGGTGAAAAGAGGTGGTCGACATCTGGACGACACTTGGTCGAAACAACGCTAATGATAGGGCCGCGGAGGTCCACACATGCTCTGAGGAAGGCCCACCCAAGGGCGCGAAGCTAGGTGACCAAGGGCATGATGTTCTTATGACCTGGGTGAGGTCTGTGTCTACACGGTGTTAAAGACGCTGGAAGTTTTGCCTTCCATGCTCAAGATCTATGTTTGTTCCGTTCTCGGGCCCGTTATTTTACGTTGCGGTATTTCGTACGTGCCGTTATCGGTTCGGTTCCGTTTTGTGATTTTGTGGTGGTTTGTTTTGTGTGAGTTGCGACGGTGTCGCCATTTTCGAGGGTTGTTGGTGGGTCCAGCGGAGTGAGGCGCCGCGGGGACCTGAGCGAGACCTCGCCGTCCCTGGGGGGCTGCGATCTGCGACATTGTCGCCACTTTCGAGGGCCGCTGGTGGGTCCAGCGGAGTGAGGCACCGCGGGGACCTGAGCGAGACCTCACCGTTTCTGGGGGGGCTGCGATCTGCGACATTGTCGCCACTTTTGATGGCTTCTTGGTGGGTCCTGCGGAGTGAGGCACCGCGGGGACTTGAGCGAGACCTCGCCGTCCTCGGGAGGGCTGCGATCTGGGACAGTGTCGCCACTTTCGAGGGCTGCTGGTGGGTCCTGTGGAGTGTGGGACCGCGGGGACCTGCGCGAGACCTCGCCGTCCCTGGGGGGCTGCGAGCTGCGACACTGTCGCCACTTTCGAGGGCTGCTGGTGGGTCCAGCGGAGTGAGGCACCGCGAGGACCTGAGCGAGACCGCGTTGTCCTTGGGGGGCTCTCGAGAGCTGCTGTGGGATACGTTAGGCGCAACGGGCGTATGGCACAGCCAACGGGGGTGATTTGTGAAACAGACCATCTGCTGGGCGATGGCCATAACGTTGCGCCTACACGTATCCCGCGGGGGCTCTCAAGAGTTGTTGTGGGATACGTTGGGTACAGTGGGCGCATGGCAAAGCCAACGGGGGTGATTTGTTATTGCGTAGCCCTTATATCTTGATCGGGGGCCTGCGAACCTTCCGATTGCTGCTCGCAAAAGCACATGCGTCCATGTTACGTCATCGCCCCCGTTGTAGCAATCCTGATGTATTTATGCCCCGCATTGCGCAAGGGTTGGGTACGTCGCCAGGATAATTTCCCAACCTGCCTTGGTTGGGTATTCGTTTTGAACACTGCATTGCGGTCCTCCTCCTCCTCCCGCCTCCCGTCTCCCGCTTCCATGTTGTCTCCTCTTGTCGTGTGCGTACCTCGTGTGTGTGTGTGTGTGCATCCTGGCTGCGGTGTCTCTTGTGTGTGCATCTTGCCAAGGGGCTGCGATCTGTGACATCGTCGCCATTTTCGATGGCTGCAGGCGGGCCTTGCGGAGTGAGGCACCGCGGGGACCCGAGCGAGACCCAGCCGCCCCTGGGGGGCTGCGATCTGCGACAGTCGCCACTTTCGAGGGCTGCTGGTGGGTCCTGCGGAGTTAGAGACCGCGGGGACCTGAGCGAGAGCTCGCCGTCCCTGGGGGGGCTGCGATCTGCGACATTGTCGCCACTTTCGAGGGCTGCTGGTGGGTCCTGTGGAGTTTGGGACCGCGGGGACCTGAGCGAGACCTTGCCGTCCCTGGGGGGCTGCGATCTGCGACATTGTCGCCACGTTCGAGGGTTGCTGTTGAGTCCAGCGGAGTGAGGCACCGCGGGGACCTGAGCGAGACCTCGCCGTCCCTGCGGGGGCTGCGATCTGCGACATTGTCGCCACTTTCGAGGGCTGCTGGTGGGTCCAGCGGAGTGAGGCACCGCGGGGACCTGCGCGAGACCTCGCCGTCCCTGGGGGGCTGCGATCTGCGACACTGCCGCCACGTTCGAGGGCTGGTGGCGGGTCCTGCGGAGTGAGGCGCCGCGGGGACCTGCGCGAGACCTCGCCGTCCCTGGGGGGCTGCGATCTGCGACATTGTCGCCACTTGCGAGGGCTGCTGGTGGGTCCTGCGGAGTGAGGCACCGCGGGGACCTGAGCGAGAGCTCGCCGTCCCTGGGGGCTGCGATCTGCGACATTGTCGCCACTTTCGAGGGCTGCTGGTGGGTCCTGCGGAGTGAGGCGCCGCGGGGACCTGAGCGAGACCCAGCCGCCCCTGGGGGGCTGCGATCTGCGACAGTCGCCACTTTCGAGGGCTGCTGGTGGGTCCTGCGGAGTGAGGCGCCGCGGGGACCTGAGCGAGACCTCGCCGTCCCTGGGGGGCTGCGATCTGCGACACTGTCGCCACTTTCGAGGGCTGCTGGTGGGTCCAGCGGAGTGAGGCACCGCGGGGACCTGAGCGAGACCTCGCCGTCCCTGGGGGGCTGCGATCTGCGATCTGCGATATGTCGCCACTTTCGAGGGCTGCTGGTGTGTCCAGCGGGGTGTGGCACCGCGGGGGCCTAAGCTAGACCTCGCCGTCCCTGGGGGGCTGCGATCTGCGACGCTGTCGCCGCTTTCGAGGGCTTCTTGGTGGGTCCTGCGGGGTGAGGCACCGCGGGGACCTGAGCGAGACCTCGCCGTCCCTGGGGGGCTGCGATCTGCGATATGTCGCCACTTTCGATGGCTGCTGGTGGGTCCAGCGGAGTGAGGCACCGCGGGGACCTGAGCGAGACCTCGTTGTCCTTGGGGGGCTCTTGAGAGCTGCTGTGGGATACGTTAGGCGTAACGGGCGTATGGCACAGCCAACGGGGGTGATTTGTGAAACAGACCATCTGCCGGGCGATGGCCATAAGGTTGCGCCTACACGTATCCCGCGGAGGCTCTCAAGAGCTGCTGTGGGATACGTTGGGTGCAACGGGCGCATGGCAAAGCCAACGGGGTTGATTTGTTATGACGTAGCCCTTATATCTTGATCGGGGGCCTGCGAGCCTTCCGATTGCTGCTCGCAGAATCACATGCGTCCATGTTACGTCATCGTCCCCGTTGTAGCAATCCTGATGTACTTATGCCCCGCATTGCGCGAGGGTTGGGTACGTCGCCAGGGTAATTGCAGACTGGTCGGCCGAGAATTGAGACGTCGGACCAACGAACGAACATCAGCCCCAGCGTTTTTAACGTCTGTTGAGGGCCTGCGAGGCAGGGCGGCCTGGGGGCGGCCCTTCGCCTGCGCGCGCCAGGACGGCTCGGCCGCGGTGTTCTTCGCGCGGTGGTGGCTGGAGGCTGGGCGCGCGCGCGCTACGCTCGCGCGCGACGCTCGCGCGCGGCGGCGCGTGGCGGCGACGCCGGCCGCGCGACCGCCGCGGCGTGGGCGCCGCCGGCCGCGGCGGCCGCGGCCAGCAGCAGCCGCCGCACGCGGACACGGCCAGTGTCCAGGCACGTCCACTCGGCGGCATCGAGGCTTTCGAGGCTTTCGAGGTTTCGGGTTCGAGGTTGCGTAGAGGTGTTGAGGGTTCCGCATGTTTCCACTGGTTTCCGGGGATCGAGGCCCGTTCGAGTTTCGAGGCATTTCGGTTTCGAGGTTTGCGGTACGACGCGCTCGGGGCAACGGTCGGCGATCGGCGGGTAGAGAGGGCTTCGGGTTCGAGTTTCGATGTTTTCGGACCTGTGCGTCGGTTCTCGGCGGTTTTCCAGCCTCGGCGCTCTTTCCAGCAGCTGCGCTTCACCGACGGCGTTCCCGGGGTGCCCAGATCAGCCCGAACGGCCACCGGGGAGCCGAGGTATGATCCGAAGTGTACGGAGCCCAGATTCGCCCGAACGCCCCTCCATTCCCGACAGGGGGCCCGGCAGCCCACCCCGCCCTGGAGCGTGCGGATCTGCTATCGGGCTATCGGGGGCGTGTCGCCCGTCTGTCGGCGAGGTGTCGCCGATTCCAGGTCGATGCTTCGCCCCCGGAGGCAGTCTCCTCCTTCCTTGAGATCCGACGTCGAGAAAGAACAACAGCATCGCGGCAACTCACGACTGGAGCTCAACAGACCCCGTCTTTCTGCTTGCTTGGTCGAGCCGCATCGATCTGTGATGGTCCATGGGCCCAGAACCGAACGAAATCGCTTGGTGTGAAACATTGCAACGCCAGGATCTCACTTCGATCGCCGCGGGCGGTGCTACGGGGACATGGGGGGGTCAGAAGTGAATGCTAAGGTGGATGATATCTGGCCGATTCTAGTTTGTACGTGGGTTACAGGTGCCCTAAGTGGCCCAGGGTGATTAGATACTCCGCTGAACATGGCCCCGCCCGCTTAGCCCAGATCTGTGCGCCCCGAAGCCACTGAGGGTATTTGCATGCCCTTCGCAAGTCAGGTTCGGCCAGATACTACCCATCTTAGCATCCCTCTGCGACCCCCCTATCCCCTTGGCAAGGCCCCCCGGCGATCCAAGCAGGATCTCAGGCGAATCGTTCCCTCTCCACGCGGAGGGCGCAGGCCCAGGAGTTGCCCGGCCCGCGCAGCTGGCCGACACGCAGCCGACGCCCACTTTTGCACGGCCCGAGCAGACCTCGGCTGGAGAGTCATCGATCGCCTGCAGGATGCGCCATGGCTTCTGCGGCCCCATTCAAAAGAAGTAAGGCGTGGAAGCCTCCAGTCGTCTTGCGTTGAACGTGTAGCGGTGAATGGTGCACAGACGCGCCCCAAAGCACGCGCGCCGCGCCCGACAGCGCCCAGCAGCGCCCCTCAGTTGGCGCCCAATGGGGCCCGGTTGCGACACATGAGGGAGATCCATTACTTCTGCTTTGCGCGCCGTGGGGGTGTTGTTGGACACGCTGTGGGGGGCCGTGTGGACGACCCAAATCTTCCTCGAACAGATTTTTATCCATGCGGAGATTCCAGCGAGAGTTGGGCGTTGTCAGGAGGGAAAGAAACACACAGACACAATTAATCGTCGATTTCCCAGAACACATAGGAAAATATGGGAAGTGGGGGGAAGACGAAAATCCAAAAAATATGGGAAAATATGGGGAATATTTTTATTTGTGTGTATTTATTTGTGTGTTTTGGGGCCCCTTCACGTTGGGCACTCCAACCCCTCGTGCCCTCACCCGAAGACAAATACACGCCGTGCACAGTTTCTCAGAGGTCCGCGCGGCTGGCTCGGATCGGCGCCGGGCCGCCCTTGGCGGCGCCCTCGGTGCCGCTCCCTGGCGCGCTCGCACTTCGGGGAGGAGGGGCCAGCGGCGGTCCAAGACATTCGCGCGGACCTCTGATCAGAGCGTGAATTACCTACCCCGCTTTCGCTTCCAGGCAAAACCAAGTCATACCACACGCCTCCTCGTCAAGCGGCCTGACCAGCACAGGCCGTAGTTTGGCATCGTTTGGTATCTCTTGGAAGCGAGGGTGGTCAAAAGCGAGGTAGGTTTGTTTGCCCCCTATCTGAGAAAGTATAGGTTGAAGCAGTCTGCTGCTCCTCTCAAGGAATGGCCCACGACGCCTCCCCGAGCTGGAGACGTGGGGTGCCTCGAGCGGGACGCCGCGAGGAAGGGGGACCCACGCCGCTAAGAGGACTCTGTCTGTGCTCCTCGCGGTGCTGGTGATGGCGTGCCGCGTGTGCTGGGGGCGTCCAAGTGAGATGTGAGGACCGGGGGTGTGTAGGTGCGTATGGGTATCACAGCTGGGGCCATGATATCTGCCAGAACGCGAAGACCTTCCGGCCTGTGCCGCCGACCCTGAATGGGGGACGACGGCGACAACGGCGGCGGCGGCGACAATGACGACGCTGACGTGGCCCAGAGGGATGCTTCTTGGGGTCTCTTCGAAAGGCGTTCGGGGTCCTCTGGGGAGGCATTTGGGGCCTCTTGTGAGCCGCTTGGGAGCCTCTGGGGATTCTCTTGGGGCCTTTTCGGGCTTCCTGGGGACCTTGTGGGCCTCTTGGAGCCTCTTGGGACCTCTTGGGCCTCCTGGAGGCCTGTCGGGGCCTAGGGCTCGAAATGTCCGCTCGGGCCTCCGGTCTGGGCCCGCTCTTGGAGCCGTCTTGGGGGCCTCTTGGGCAGTCTTGGAGGCGTGATAGGGGTGTCTTGAAGTCCCTCGTGGGGCCTTTTCGGGAGTGCTCGTGGAGGCTTCTTGGGACGTCTTGGCGGCCTCCTAATTAGGCAGTCTGGAGGCCGTGAAGGTGTTTTGAACCGATAGTTTCGCGATTCGACCGTCTCGGAGGCCTCTTGGGGCACTCTTGGCCTGCCTTGGTCCTTTCGGAGGCCCCTGGACCCTCAGGGGTGGATGCGTATCTTGCCCCCCCACCGATTGGACCCCCCGGGACACCCCCATTACACACACCCCCAGTATTGCCCCCCCCGACGGGGAAGGCATCACAGGGAAAGGGCTTCCTTCGACTCAATTACGACATTGCTAGATTTATGTTTCTTTCGCTGACAGTCTTTTGGAGGAGGGTGCAGGGGAAGGGGACGACGGAGACGACGACTGACGGAGACTACGATTCGAACAGACAAGCCCCTCACACACGCCGACAGAGTCGGTGGATTCCGTGTCCCCCCTGTTCCCTGCCTTTTCTCATTATTCGTCCAGCACGCTCCTTGGCACCCCTCTGTCGCGCACGTGCTTCAGGCCATGAGGCGCCGACCCCCCTCGTCTTGTCCCCCCCCTCTTCGGCGCGTGAGATGTTGCCCTGCCCTCCATGCGGCGGCGCCCCTCCCCCAACGGCGGCAGGTCCGCTGGGGCCTGGCGCGCGTGTCCAGCACGCCGCCGCCGGTGCTCCGAGACCTCCGGGAGCTGCAGGAGGCGCCTTGCTGCGTTCACCATTTGCCGTGCCCAGGAGCAGGAAGAACGGGATGCACGCAGACTGTCCGAGGTTTGCGCGGATGATTGTCGGCGGCGAGATCCCAACCCTACCTTCGCCGATCGACGACTCAGGCACCTCGATGGGGAGCGGGGCAGGGTTCGGAATTCGTCGAGCGCGTGGCAAATCCGAACACTGCCCCTGCCTCCCATCGACTCAGGAAATCGATGGATGGTTCTGGATGGTGGGGGTAGGATTCGGATGTCGCCACGCATTGCGAACGAAGACCTTACGGCGGGTGCCTTCGACCCTGAAGGAGGATGGCGACGGCGGGGGCGGCGTCGACGACGACGACGACGACGCTCTGGAGCCCGTCGTGGGGCCCTTCTTGGGAGCCTCCCGTGTCCCGTTGGGGGGCCTCGGGGGGGGGACGCCGCCGCGGAGCGGGTCTGCGGCCCCCATAGAGCCGGCTGCTGCTCCTCCTCCAATTCCTACTCCTCCTCCTCCTTCTCCTCGTCCTCCTCCTCCTCCCCCTCCCCCTACTCCTCCACCTTCTCCTCTCGTGTCCTCCTCCTGGCCCCTCGGAGGCATGCAGAGGACCTAGGAGAGTGGATGGCTGGCGGGGTTGGGGTTCGGACGTCGCCGCCTGCTCCCGGAGCGGCGCTGGGCCCCCCGCCCCGGCGCGCGGAGCGCAGCAAGGGCGGAGCCGGCGGGGCCGCCAGGGGGAGGGGGGGGGCCCTCGGGCCTTTCGTGGTCGGGGGGGCGACCAATGTCAGGAGGGGAAGAAACACACAGACACAATTAATCGTCGATCCCCAGGAAAATATGGGAAAATATGGGGAATATTTTTATTTGTGTGTATTTATTTGTGTGTTTGTGGGCCCCTTCACAATGGAGCGACGCAGCAAAACGGGGTCGACTGAGCGGACGTTGGCGCGTGAGCTGCCCGCGTGTAGGGCCGCGCGCGAGCACCCTCGTCTCCAAAATGCAGCGTGCCTCTCTGGCGGCCCGCGTGAGCCGCCGCGTGAGGTCGCCATGTCCTATCGCATAAGGCCCGTTTCGTGTCGTCGAATCGCCCCCCCCCCCTTTGAATCCGCTGGGAGGTTGGGCACGTCCCCTCGGCACGGGTGGATGGGGGTTGGAGGAGGAGGAGGAGGAGGAGGAGGAGGAGGAGGAGGAGGAGGAGGAGGAGGGGAAGGAGGACGGAGGGGGCGGGATTGGGCAAGCTCAGTCGGGAGGTTAATCACCCAACTTTTGATACATCCCCCATCCAGAGTACCCTCGCAGCTCCGTCTCTAGAGTGTATTAGCGTCGACTAGCGTCAGGTAATCCATGAGGCATCGCCGCTGTAGCGTCGATTAGCGTCGATCTGGCGTCGATTGGCGTCGGCCATCGCCAGTTCGCAAAAGCCAGCAATCTGCTCTCGGAGGCGCCCATGAGCTGCCGCAGCAAGCTGCAGGGGAGGGTCGCCCCTGGGCCCCGAAGGTAGACGAAAGGCGCGCGTGTCTGCACACCCCCTGCAGAGCCCAGCGCAGCTCCAAGAAGTTTGCGCGGACCTGTGAAAGCGTACAGCGGGGACGCGCAGCAAGAACCCGGATGCAGGACTGGACCTAAACGGTTTTTTTTCGATCAAGTGGGCCGTGTTCGTGTCGATTTCGTGTTGCGGTAAAGGCGGAGTCGAGACAAAAGCGAGGGAAAACGAAAGCAACACGGAAACGAAAAACACCGTTCAGGTTCAGCCCTGCCTAGATGCATTTTGCCAGCGTGCCCTGGGTGTTGCCACTTCGCGCGCTGCGGGGCGACTTCCCCCGGCCGTTTTCAAGCAGCTGCTGCGGTCGGGGTGTTCTTGGCTGCCCCCCCCCAGGTGCATCTCGCCCGCAGAGTTTCAGGGCTGGGTTTCTTGACAGGGTTTCTTGTGGCCGCGTCCGCACTGTATTTTCATGGTCGTGCCATCCATTGGTTCTTCCGCTGTTGCCCTTTGCGCCTCCCGCCTCGAACTTGCGTCCTCCGCTGCGGAGGAACAAAAAACATCCGAAGGGTGGGTTGCCGGGGGCCCCGCTGTCGGGGGGGAGTCAGGGGCAACGTTCGGGAGGGGGGGGGGGGAGCGAGGTATTCGGAATCGAGGTTCGAGATTTTCTGGCATGTTCGTCGTTACCCGTCGGTTTTCCAGCCCAGAGGTGCCTTCCAGCAGCTGCGCCTCGCCGATGGCGTTCCCGGGGTGCCCAGATCGTCCCGAACGCCGTCGGGGAGCCGAGGTATGACCCGAAAGCCAGGGGCAGCATTCGCGGGGCGTGGGCTCAGGGAGGAACGTACGGACCCCCGATCGTCCATGGATGGCCGACCCTCCTAGGAACGCACGGTTTCGCTATCGGGGACATGCTGTCGATCCATACACGCACGGTCCCGACGCGCTGATGCCAAGATCGACAATGGTACACTTTCCTGCTCCGCGGGCCGAGCGACGTCACCACAGCGAGCACTGGAGGAGGATCAAGAACTGCTATGTCAGATTGCACCCAACACTGATGGCATGCGTCAGGTGTCCAAGACCTTCCTGCACGCGCTGGTCGCGATAGCCGCCTCCGTGTGGTCGTCCTTCGGATGACCCCAATCAAGACATCTTTCGACATGGTTTCTCCAGCAATGGGGCTCCCGACCCACTCCCCGAGGGTGGTTTTTCGGTCGATGGGGCTGAGCTGCTCGGGAACCGGCACGCACAGGATGAATTCAAAGGAGGGAAAACCACCCCGACCTTGACAATTGGCGTTTACTAGACGGCCCTGAGCGTTTTACTAAACAGCCCTGCCTTGTTCGATTCCTTCCTCGAGTGCGGTTACTGAGCGGTTTCGCATGTCGGGGTGCTCTTTATGGGGGTGGAGTTTCTGCTCTCTGTGAACTGCACCCAACATGTCGAGGAAGAAGCAAGGATGCACGCCAAGCAAAGCAACAAACCACCGCGGAGGTCCGCGCGGATCCCCTGGATCGGCGCAGGGCCCTCCTCCCCAGCACGCGGAGTGGGCCAGGGGCGACGCCAGGGGCACAGTGTATCACCGAGCGCGTTCCACCACTCGCAAAGAGGCCTACTCGCAAACGTCCGAAAAATGCATGTCTGCATCGATGTAATGTATCGTTTATCCCCCGCGGCGCACCCAGGCCATTTTGCGAGTAGCTACTTTGCGAGTAGTGGAACGCGCTCGTCTAGTTCAGGGGGCCCGGCGCCGATCAAGACATCCGCGCAGATGTCCAACACTTCGTGTTCATGCAGTCTCGTTAGCCTCGCCCGTGGCCCGGCCGTTGCCTTCGCCGCCTGACCGTCGTCTCGTGGCCGCGACCAAAAAAGTTTATGCAGTCTTGCGTCCTCTAGGTTCGACTAGACGTGAGTGACCTTTCGCGGGAGTGACCTCTGGTGCGGGCACAGTGTGGTCCCCAGATGGCCGAATTCGATACGATGGCAGCGCCCGGCGCGCTCCAGCTCGGCCTCCACGTAGCCCCCGAAAGTCGCGCACCAAAGGGTTCATTCTTGCCAAGGGTCACTCTTACGTGTAGCCGATAGGTGGATGGTCGGCGGCGCCTCCGAGGGGGGGGGAGTGAGAGGGAGCAGGCTGTCTCGTGAGGCGGCGGGGCTCCTCGGAAGCCCTCGCGCCGGAGGACTTCAGAGCCTCCTGAGAAGGCCCTCTCCTTCTCACTTCTCCCCTGGGCCCACCACCGAGTTGATCCTTTCCAGGCCTCTCAGATGGGGTCGGAGTAGATGGGATCGGAGGATTGCGCAGCATCGGCGATGCATTGGCGATGCGGCTCGAGGAGGAAACCGATATTCTCCACGCCGACGCCGGCGAGGCATCGCCGACGTCGCGGATGCAGCGCCGATGCATTGGCGATGTTGTGTAATGAGCTGGCCTCGTCTATTCGGACCCTGTCGAGGAGGCCTCGATCCTTCTTTGAGCAGGGCAGATGGAGGACAAGTGGTGGACCCGTCTGCCGGCTTGCAGGAGACAATTGCCATTGCGACGGTTCATCGGGGTCATTATCCGATTTTGTCCTTTTATCAGCTGATCAGTTGATCGGCTGGTTTGGGCTTGATCGGTTGATCGGTTGCTTGGCGCCTGCTTGGCGCCTGATCGGCATGTTGGCGCTTGATCGGCCGATCTATCACACTCGCCCGTTCGCGGCCAAACTGTGGGGAGGTCTCGAGCGAGGCGCCCGTTTGGCTTCTCTGGCTCTTCTGCTTTCAGAGCAGATAGCGAGGGTAGCTCTCAGAGCAGTCTTGCGGGTGTAAGGCGCTCGATTACCAGCCCCGGTTCCTCCGCACTCACAGCCCTGCGATCACCACGAGGCGGCAGTCCAACAATCTCTCGCACGCGGTCATTCACGGACGTGCCAGACATTCACATACACATACGTGAGAAGATTTCCGCGCTCCCTCATCCTCCATCCTCCTCCTCCGTCTTCCTCCCTCCGCTTCGCATGGTTCAGACGTGTGCGTACGGGGCGACCGGGCGTTGGGCGGGTGCAGGGACGTTCAAGGAGGTGGGAGGAGGTGCGAGACGGTACAAGGAGGCACGAGGAGGGTCGAGGGAATGCGAGGAGGCGCAAGGAGGCGCAAGGAGGAGCGAGGATGAGGGCGACATGAACGTCAAGGGGGAGAATAAGGAGGAGGGAGGTCCGAAGAAGTGCAATGAGCGAGTAGGAGCGATGGTGAGGAAGCTATGAACGGCCATTGGAATGATGATGCTGCTGATGATGGTGATGTTGATGACGATGGTGGTAGTGATGGTGTCGATACTGAATGTCATGCTGATGACGTTGCTGATGAAGACGATGACGATGGCGATGATACTGCTAATGACGATGCTGATGATGACGATGATGATGACGATGGTGATGCTGACTCTTCTAATGATGTTAATCATGATGCTGCTGATAAAGGTGACGATGATGGCTATGATGACGATGATGTTGCTGCTGATGATGATGAAGATGTTGATTTCAACGACGACGACGACGACGATGACTATGCCGAGGACGATGCTTACTTTGCTAACTATGCTGTTGCTGCTGACGATGATGATGCTGATGATGATGACGTTGGTGAGGGTGATGGCGATGGTGACGAGAATGGTCATGATGCAGATGATGACGACGATGACGAGGAGGAAGAGAAGGAGGAGGAGGAGGCAGGCGGAAAGGAGGTGGGAGAAGGAAGGGAAGAAGGCGGCGAAGGAGGCGGAGGAGGAGTAGGAGGTGCGGAGTTGTGCGACGATATGTGAGCGGTTTTTTGGAGGTGCGGGGAGGGGCCAGGAGGTGCGAGGATGTGCGAGAGAGTACGAGGAGGTACGCGGAGAGTCGAGGATGTGCTAGGAAATGCGAGGAGCCAGGAGGGAGGAGGAGGAGGAACACATAAACAGCGAGGGGAAAGATCAGGAGGAGGAGAAGAGGAGGGAGGTACGATGAGGTGTGCGAGGAGATGCGAGGAGGTGCGAAGAGGTTCGAGGAGGTGCGAAGAGGTGCCGTTATCGCACGGCGGAGGGGTGTTTCTTGGTGCAGCGGCGGAAATGAGGCGCGTGTTGGCGTTATCGTGTTGAGCTTGCTTGTCTCCTTGTCTCCTCTCCTCCCCTCTCCTCTCCTGCCGTTGCTGCCACTGCCGTTTACCCTACCCACAATTTGCCATCATGTTAGCATGATAGTTTGACTGATTCGCTCCGGCTGCAGCTGCACTCGTGGGGGGGTTCCGAGTGCTTTGGCATGACCGCTCTGCTGGAGATGGGGCATGACCGCTCTCTTTGAGATAGGTACCAGGCACGGGGGATTGCGCATTTGGTTGAGAGGCGGGGCCATGTGGCCCGTAAGTCCCATGGTGGCTCTGTGCCCGCTCACCCCAGGGAACAAACCCAGTTGCGCATGCCAGCTGATTGGGCAGCAGAGGTTGATAGCCAGGAAGTACCTCGCAGTGACGAGGTGAACCGACCGCACCATGCCCTCTCGTATGGAGACAAGTCGCTAGGCGACTAGGTAGCTGCCTCTCCCCGGTTTGTCGGTGCGCGCGCATTCGGGCCCGCTTCCTCCCGTAAGGGGGAGGCTTGGGGTGCCGGTTGCCTGCCACTGCAGCCCGCCTGCGTGCGGTGTGCACCGCGCACTTCTTGGACCCATGATTCCATGACTCGTCCCTCTCTCTCCTTTCGTATTGGTCGGGAATTTGAGTTCGCGTTGTCATCCTCGGAGCTTGGTCACTGATACAATAACTTTATGACGATGCCGTTCTGCGAGAGTCCAGCTTCCGCGGTCGCGTGCTACGTGTCGCCCGTGGCAGGTTGGCCCCAGCGTTGCTCCAGGTGCGTTGGATTTCTCTGCTTCTCTCCCTCTCTCCTCCTTCCTCCAGTTACTCCTCCATTTCACCGTCATCCCCGATTTTTTCCGAGTCCGGGGTTATTGCAGGTTTTTGCCTTCTGTGCCCTGGCCCGCGCACGACGCTGCTTAGCCGTTCCCGTGGTTTGTTAATGGGCCACGCTGCCCGGAGTTTTTCGTTTCACCCGGTTCTCTGGACCCCCGCTGGGTTGTCCAATGGGTTTTGTTGGGGTAGGTCATCGTGCCGCCCGGGTATCAACAGCAGAAAAGGTGTTTGGGTTGTCCAGGGTTGTTTGTTGTCCGATTATTGTCCCATGGAACATAAATCGTGTGAAGGGGGAAGGCTTCTTAGAATCACCCCCTTCTTGCAAGGCGCGGGCCTCATCTGTAGATGTAAGGTCGGCGCCTTCCAGGAAGCAGCCTCCTAAGAAACCTTCCCCCTTCCTCCTACCCCCTTGACGCAGCTCGGACAATCTTGCGTTTGGATCCCGGGAAGGGTCCAGGGACCGATTTTGAGTTCGCTCCTGATGTCACAAAGGGCGGCGCCCTTTCCACAGCGCGGGTTTGAAGAGTTGTGCCGGTCTTGGCACGAGCAGGCGATTGCTGCTCAAGCCTAATTTCGGCGCTCAGTTTGAAGTTCTGGCTGCGAGGGGCTTAGACCCGTAATCTTGAGGTCACCCTTGGAGCCTGCAGATGATCGCGCTAGACACATCGCGGCCTTGGCCAGCCGCGTATATCACCGATTACGTGCCGAAGTGTGTCTATTTAGCGTCGGCTCGCATCGATCAGCCTCGATCAGGGTCGGTTATCGCTGATTCGCAAGAGCCAGCAAGGTGACACGGGAAGCTCCAAGGAATTGCCACACAAGGTGCCTTTCTCAAGGGCGCCGGCGTTTGGGCGCAAATATAGCCACGCTGTGAGGAAAATCTTGGAGGCCTCGCACGGCTCGCAACAATCGTATTTTCTAGTCCACACGTCCGATCCGTAAGACACGGGTCGACGTTCGCTCTGCCATGATTCGACGTGAATCCGACGTAAATCCGACGTGAACTTACGTAAATTGGGTCTCAGGGTGCCGCGCGAGGCCTCCAGGATTTTTCCCCATCATCTTCTTCCTCTTCTTCCTCTTCTCCCTTGTCACACCAGTTGTCTCCGTTATCTTCGTGCTTTTCTATATGGTCTGAGTGCCCTGCGCGGTCGCCGCGCGAACCGGGCTTCCACTCCACTCCTGCGACTCGCCCAGGTCACCAGCGGTGGCGAACATAGTCGCGCTTCGCGCCAAGCGCGGCTTGGGCCAAAGCAATCTTATGGTTTTGTGCAGAATATCTGTGCGAAACGATAATATGGTGAGGATCGGGGAGACTATGACTGGCGTGGTACCCTTACTACGAGGTGATGCTGATCTACATTATCATTTTTGTTCACTGCGGTCGTGTGCCAACTGTGAACTGTTCCAGGACAGACACAGAGAGGCTGCCCTTTTCCAGGAGGAGGCGGCGCGAGGGCGCGAAGCTGGCCGTGCGCCGCTCCTCGCGGGGCGCGAGCTTCCCCGGACGCGGTTGCCGTCGCGGGCGCGGGCTCGGAGGAGCCACGCGCCGCGCCACCGCGGGCCGCGGGCCCGGGCGCCGCCCGCCGCGGCGGCTGGCCGTCCGCGGGGGGCGCGCCGGCGCCGCCCAGGCGCGGAGGTTCGTGGCCAGCGCGGGCTGGAGCGAGGAGCCGCGCCGGGCGTGCCCCGCTGCCCGGCCCATGCATCGTCTGCAGCAGCAGTCGGGGGCGGCCAAGAGGGGGGTGATGACTACACCCTAGGCGATGCTTAAGAAAACCTAAGTTTTCGGCGAGAGTCTCGATTATTCTTAATGCTTCAATGTAAATCCTAAGATTTTAATAGAAGTTCTGGGTTTTTATTCAAATTCTGAGACTCTGAGTTTCTTAACCCATGATTTCTTAAGCATTTCGCAGGGTGTAGGGGGGTGGATATCAAGCCGGGGGCCATGGCATCTCCCCAGGTTTCAGGGCGCCTCTTCTGATTTCGTTGCGTCCCTGGCCCCCCTCCCCCGGGGCCGCACACGTGCCGCCGGCCATGATTTGCGCCCCCCCCCCCTGATGGACGCCCCCCTCTTTGACCGCCCCCGAGGCAGGAGCGTCGATGATCGAGGAGCCTCGAGGATGGAGGACCGAGGATCGAGGAACGCGGAGGATCGGGAGGCACTCGCGGAGGACTGGGGGGGACTCGAGGAGGAGCGTTGATCACTCGAGGAGCACTCGAGAAGCGGAGGCGGCAGCAGGCGCGTCGAGGATCGAGGCTTCCTCGCGCTCCTCGGCACGCTGTGGTCCTGCAGGATGCTTTTCGTAGACACGCCATGGCCTGTCAGAAGGCACCCATGGAGAGGTCTCGGGTGGGGGGTGATGGGAGAAGGGGAGGAGGAGGAAGAGGATGAGGGGAGTGAGTAGGAGGAGGAGGCGACCGAGCATGCAGCAGTGCGGTCGAAGACACGATAGCACAGGGCATCGAATGGAGACAGCAGCGGGATAGAGTGAGAATCCTGCCCCTCCGCCTTAGGAAAGGCAGAGCCTCGGGGCCATGCACGGGAACAGGACGGCAGGCTCGATCAGTCACCGAGCCCCTCGGCCGGGCGCCGCCCTCGTCGCTCATGTGACGTGGTTACGAGGCGAGGGCAGCGGCACATATGGAAGAGCAGACCAGAGCAAATCGACCAAAGACGGCAGCCCAGGGCCCCAGAGCACGGCGACGAGGACCCAAGAAAGGGCACCGGCAGGCGCGTGCCATCTCCGTGGCCCCCAGGGGTCGCAGACAAGGCACACCCCACCCCCGCGGGGACGGCCCGACCGAAGCCCCAAGCCCCCAGGAGCAGGCGCAGCGACCAGCCAGGGCCCCGAAGGCCCAGACGGGGCCGCCACCAGCGTTCCGAGCCGAGTCCGGCAACTAGGAACGCGCACCTAAAGCGGCTGACATCGCGGTCCGCTTTGTCATAATTTCAGTTGTGGGACACGCCTGGTCAGGAGAAAGGCTAGGGCATTTGGAGAGCAAATGAGCCTCCCACTGCGCAATCCCCCATCCCTCAGTTTCATCGGCTGATGTGGCCTCCAAGTCGGCGTCGGGCCTCACAGCGCAGCAGTCCATCTCGAGAGTCGTGTTGTGAGACTCTGTCCGAAAGGCCTGCGCATCATCAGGCACCTCGTCGCAGTCAGAGTTATGGTGCACGTTCATCGCCATCGTTTTGACGATGCGCCCAAGCTCCGTTTGCGTGCCCTGCGCAATCTTCATAGTGTCCCGTCCACACATGTTTCCTGCAGCTGTCCCTCTTGCAGGGTGTGGCGAGTGGTGAAGCAGTTGCGCACGAGGCCGCACTCCGTCTCAAGAGTCGTCTTGTGAGAGTGTGCCCCAACGGTGTTTGCATCGTCTGGCAACGCGTCATAATCCGAGTTCTGGCACTCGATCATCGCCGTCGACGTGACGATGTCCTCCAGCTTCGTCTGCGTGCCCTTCGCGATTTTCATATTGTCACCGTCGACGACCTTGCCCTGCAGCTTCTTATCCTGCAGGGTTGGACGAGCGGTGAAGCAGAGTTTCACGAGGGCGCAGTTGTTCTAGAAAGTCGTTTGAGACTCGGTCCCAGCGGCCTTTGCAAAGATAGGGTTGACGATGCCCTCTAGCTGCATATGCTAGCCCTTGAGCGCAGCCTCGTCCGCAGCATTGTGCTAGTCCAGCCAGTAGAGGATATTCTTTATCGGCTTCCCGATGATGTCCGACCCACCGTATTCGAGCTCGTCTGTCAGCTTCTGCAGGCGGTTACGAATGGTGAAACAGTAGTGCACGAGGCCATATTTTCTCTCGACGTCAGCGCTGACCTCACCCTCCTCAGGGCGTAGGTCCGAGGTAAACTCGAAGTCGTGGTGCGGGTAGACGACCTCCTTGGCGGCCTGTGCGCCCTTATCGGCTTGCGCGCCCTTAGCGGCCTGCGCGCCCTCGAGCCAGACCTTGAGGCGTTGCAAAACACAATGAGCAGCGCCAGGATGCCGTATCAACGCCAAATCGCCGTCAAGAGCTCGGCAGCCCCGCAGCCCACGCCGGAGGACGTCGTGAAAATTGTCTGTTCGTTCCCGCGGGGCTCCGCGGCGAGCCCGACCGCCCCGCGGCCGCGGCACCTCGCAGACGCTCTGGCTCCGGGCGAGGCGGGCGAAGTGCTGCGACAGCTAGCAGCCTTCGCTGGGCGTCTCGCGCGGGGTGAGTGCCCTGGCTGCGCGGCTCTCTAGCAGTGCTGCGGACGCAGGGCGGCGGTCTCCGACCCATTGCTGCGGGAGGGTGTTGCGGCGGGTGACTGGCAAGTTCCTGGCCGCATCGGCCGCAGAGGAGGTGCGCTCTCATTTGGAACCTTTTCAAGTTGGAGTGGGCACGAAATCCGGGCGCAAACGGTCGCGCGTACCGTCCAGCAGTGGATGGGGCGTAACAGCGCGCGCGCCGATTGCGCCCTGGCCTCGTTGGATCTTTCGAGCGCCTTCAACGCAGTAGACCGTTCACAGGTCCGGCACGCTGCCTGGCGCGCAGTGCCCGAGCTAGCCAGTCAGCCCCCTGGGTGGATTTCTGTTGCGGCGAGCCGACTAACCTCCCGGGGGGCGCAGCGGGGCGACCCCCTCGGCCTGGCCCTGCTCGCTCTGGCCATCCACGCAATCGCCGAGGACTCCCGAGCTCGAGCGCTGCTGGAATTTCTTGGGCAATCCCATCTAATATCCTTCAGCTTGGACGACGACGCGATCGGATGGCCACCCCGAGCTGCGCGCCGCTCCTGCGAGCTTTCCGAGAACGCCCTGGCTGACATCGACATCGGCGGGCAAAAATATCCCAGCTGCAGCGCAGCGCCACAGTGTCTCCCCAACTCTGTTCGCAGGCTTCAATTTCAAGGCGCCCGCGATCTTCGAGCTGCTCTGGGCGCCGTTCGGATCAGCGGTGTTCCGTTCCAGCCATGCTCAGAAGAGGGCACGCAAGGCGGGGGTGCTTCTCCGCGAGGTGTCAATGCTGCAAGACACCCAGGCGGCGCTCCATCTCATCCGCCAGCGCGCATCGCATGCTAACGTCGTACTCAGCGCGGCAGCGCCACCGGGGCGCTACCGCGGCGTCTTAAACGAGTTCACGGCGGACCTGCGGACGGCCCGCAAGGAAGCCCTCGGCGCCGGGATAGGAGGCCGCGAGCGGGTGCAAGCCGCGCGCGGAAACAAGCGGGCCGGCCTCGGCCTCAGAGAAGCCGGCGACCATGCAGCGGTTGCGTATTTGGCTTCCGCGTGCACCAAGATGGAGACCTGCGCGCCCATTGACAGCGGCTTCGACCTGCGATGTCACGGCTGGCGATTTGTATCTGGGCGCAGCGAGGCGAGCGCGCGCCGGCCGCATTTCGCCCGTTGCCGCTGCCGCTCCAGGACATAGTCAAAAGGCAATGTCGGCCATGGTGGATGCCGAGCGGGCAAGGTAGTTCTGAAGTGCAGGCTGCGCATGCGCGCGCAGGATGCCGACTTCTTCTGCCCCGTGCGCGGCGGCGCCTTGGGCGGCTGCGGCGATCGCGCCCTCGCGCGCCCATGCGGCGGAGACCGCGCGGCCCGCCGCAATCGCTTGCGGGGCTCGGTGCGCGAGGACGCAATGAGGGGGCGCGTGGGCCCAGCGGGGCAGAAGCCCAGACTTCCCCCAGAACGCCCGCGGGAAGACGGCGCGCCCCCCGACGGCGGCGGAGGGGGGCCCAGTCGGCGCGCGGTCTCGGAGGCGCCTTGCCGACGTCTCCTCCCCTCGAGCTTTGGGCGGGGCACCTGCTGCCCTGGACTTCGCGCGCGCGTCGGGCCTCCGCGCAGACGTGCAGATGGGCGCTGCGACGAACCCCGACGTTGTCCTGATCGCGCGCGAGACCTTGAAGAGGTCTTTCGAGGCGCCTGGAAAGACCGTCACAACAGTAGAGTTATGCTCGGGCGCAGGTCTGTCTTTCGCCCCAGTGGCCATCGAATCCCACAGCGGCGGCTGGGAGAAGACCGCGCGGCAGGCCCCGGGCGCGATGGCCCCGCGCGCGAGCGCCCGCTGGCGCGGGGGGGCGGGGGTGGTGAAGCGCGCGCGAATAGCTCCGCGATAGTCGCGTTCTTTTCGCGGGAAAAACGCGCGGGCAATTTTGCGGCGCCTCCAGGGCCCAGCCTTGGGCGAGGAGGTAGGCAGTAGGTAGCCGGGCGACGCGCCGCCGTTGTGGCAGTGAACTATGTTTCGTCGTTATCCCCCTATTCCTCCTTCCCCCCCTCTCGCAGGCGACCCGGGCCGCCGCCCCAGCGCGCCGGCCGTCTGAGGGAAATTGCAGCGGGCCGCGTTGCTTCCTTCTCGTGCATAGAGCCACGCGGCGGCGGCGCCGCCCCGCGAACGACGCGGGCGGTGAGATTGGGTTGTCGAGAGCAATGCGCCGCAACCCGCGCGCCGCCAGGACCGCCGACAGACTGCGGGGCATCGCCCAGGCGCCACCGCAGCGGGACATCCACGCGCTCGCGGGCACTCGAGCCAGATCTTACGGAGAGCAGGTGCACGAGACTCGAATGATAGACAGCACTTGGTTGGTTGACTTTGGACAGCAGGAGCGCGCGCGCCACGGCATCGTGCAACATCCGTGCTCTTATCGAGATCACCCCCAAAGGAAAATGCCCTGCTGCGCTTGCGATGCCCTCAGGAAGATGCG